ACGTAACCAAAGTTGGTTTTGCTATTTTGACCTCACTTACCAGTTTCTTAGTGTAGGATCAGTTACCAGCTTCATCAACAATAGCCTTAAAGCAATAGTTCAACTAAAAAATGCCATTCTGTCATCATTTATTAATGTTGTTCCAAAGGCTCAATGCTAAGTGGTGCTAACCATAACATTACAGGTTCAAATCCAAAATATGCTTATACTTTAGTATTCTAGATCATACAGAGAGTGTCTGTTTTACTGTATACGCATTTGTGGATCGGAAGCAGCGATATTATGCAGAATTGGACATGCAGGTGGTGTGTAACAGCTCATCGTGGCTTTTTGGAGTGCTTTAGAATGGGCTAACAGGAGGAAAAAAGAACCCCGTGGTGGAAGACACTCCCTCAGTGCAGACGTGACACCCACACGTATGTTTCTGTGGCCGTTTAGCCCGGCTTGTGTGTGTCTTTGTGTGTGTGCCAGCATGCCAGAGAGTTACATCACCATAAGGCCATGCCATGCTGTGGCTCAGTGGCGGAGACACGGACGGCGTGGCCTGTACAGATGGAGACAGAAGGTTTCTGGTGAGGTGAGGGTGTGCCTGTGAGATACAGAGAGAGAAAAATGTGTTTGTGTGGTACTATATTTATAAAGCAGAGTAATTTTGTGGAATTATGGGTGATTTTGTGCATATGTGAGGGACTTGTTTTTGCCTGCGTTTGCGTGTTTGTGTGCAGGAGGCCTTTTCTGCCTTTGTGTAAAAGGTTTGCCCTCTCAGAATGTGATGTGGCACTCAGGGAGGCCAAAGATTGGTCTGCTCAATGCTGCCATCTAGAGGTGGCGGATGAAAGTCCTCTAAGGGCCTCTGAAATCACAGTTTGGAAGTAATGTGGATGCCTATGGTGCAGCACAATGACAAATGTCTCCAAATGCCACATTATGTTTCATTCAGCTCAGTTTTATGACATGCCATCACGTTCGGTTTTAACATGCGTACTGAGTGTGCACTAGATCTCATTCCACATGTACTTGTCAGATTCACCCTGGGAATGTGAGTGCATTTCATGCATGTCCTCCCGTCGGGATGCATAAAGGCTGTAAGTGTGTGTGTGTGAGAGAGAGAAGTGCTCTCTAAATATTAATCTAAATAGTTTTAGAAAGCTGGTTTTAATATAAATTCAATTATTTGGGGGTTCATGGGAATGTCTGTTTGGTAGTATTTTTATTTATTTTTTACATTTTTAAAAGAATTTCGATGACTCTCAGTATTTTAAATTGAATTAATTGAAACATATTTAAGCTTTTTTAATTTAAGAATTTCAGTGACTGTATCTGTATATAAAAATCATCTCGCGTTAATAATAATAATTTTAATCATATTTAATAAAAAATATAAATATTTTAATGTTTCATTCATTTTTAATTGCCATATTTAAGTTTTTATTTCTAAAAAAATGTTTATGACTATGGTTATTTAAAATCATCACATTAATGATAGTATTATAATATTTAATCAAATCTATGATTAATTATGATTAATTTTGAATTAACATATGTTTTATAGTTTTTATTTATACAAGATTTTAATGACTGTATGGGCATTTAAAATCATTTTTAATAAAATGTAAATAATATTTAAAAGAAAAAATTAATAATTTTAATAGAATAGTTCATTTTCAATTAACATTAAGGTTTTTTTTTTTACTACTTCCATATTTTAAATAATTTCAGTGCCCACAATGGCATGTAAAATCATCACATGAAATTGTTTTTTATAGAATAAATTCTTAATTACTTTGTAATTTAAGCTCACAAGGCACTTACGAGCAGATTTTTGTGAGTGTGCAAAAATCTCATTCAGCACATCCCTGTCAAAATCAACCTGGGAATGTGAGTGCATTTCATGCGTGTCCCGCTGTCGGGATGCATAAAGGCTGTGTGTGTGTGTGTGTGTGTGTGAGAGAGAGAGAGAGAGAAGTGCTAACCATAACATTACAGGTTCAAATCCAAAATATGCTTATACTTTAGTATTCTAGATCATACAGAGAGTGTCTGTTTTACTGTATACGCATTTGTGGATCGGAAGCAGCGATATTATGCAGAATTGGACATGCAGGTGGTGTGTAACAGCTCATCTTCTGGTTCGGGGAACACAATTAGCACACATAGCGGAGTCCATTTGTGCCATTGGGAGAGAAACATTCAAATGTATGTGAGTAGAGGCCTGCTGGAATACCGAGACAGAGTGTGTGTGTGTGTGGCTGTGACCTTGCTCTGCTCCCCGATCTATGTCCAGATCTACCTCTCTTTCTCCATCACTCTCTCTCTCTCTCTTTTCATTATTCCCCCCGCCCTCACTATCAGCAGCCATGGTAAAATAAATAATGCATCAAAACACATTAAAAACATTAGCTGGGCTTTACTGCCAATAAAAGAGGAGAATGCTGGGGATGGAGAAAAATAAGGAGTGAGTGATCAGGTCTGAAAAAGAAGTGAACTTTATGAAGTGAGAACCCAGATCTACCTCTCTTTCTCCATCACTCTCTCTCTCTCTCTTTTCATTATTCCCCCCGCCCTCACTATCAGCAGCCATGGTAAAATAAATAATGCATCAAAACACATTAAAAACATTAGCTGGGCTTTACTGCCAATAAAAGAGGAGAATGCTGGGGATGGAGAAAAATAAGGAGTGAGTGATCAGGTCTGAAAAAGAAGTGAACTTTATGAAGTGAGAACCCCGAGAGCTGTTGGTCTGGACCAGAGCCAGGACGCCACAGGTGCGCTGACCAGGTGCACTGTGGGTATTTTTCTGTCGCAAATGAGTCATTGAGACCAGTAAAATATGCAGTTGGAAGATGACTTTAATAAACATGATTGGCAGTTTATTGCCATTGCAGGGTATTTAATTAGTTTATCATCATTATTATGCATAAGCAAGGACGAGCACAGAAATGCACATGCAAACTTTTATACTCTCTTTCCAAGGTTTGTTATAACTCCATACTTTCTTTTTCTCATCCATTCTCCTTCATATCTTGTATTTATACAGAAGTTTAGGGTAAGTTTTTAAAAAAATACTTCTTTTCAGCAAGACCTCATTAAATTGATCAAAAGAGACAATAAAGACATAAATGATGTTACAAAAGATTTCTGTTAATTAAATGCTGTTCTTTTGAACTTTCTATTCAACAACGAATCCTAAAAAAATGCATCACTTTTTCCACAAAAATATCAAGCAGCACAGCACAGTTATTGATGATAATAAATGTTTCTAATATGCAAATCAGCATATTAGAATGGACTGGAGTACTGATGCTGAAAATTCAGCTTTGCCATCACAAGAATAAAAAACATTTTAAAATATATTCAAATAGAAAACTGTTCTTTTAAATGGTAATGATATTTCAAAATGTTACTGTTTTTACTGTATTTTTGATCAAATGAGCATAAGAGACTCCTTTCTAAAACGTTAAAAAACTTTTGAACAGTAGTGTAAGTTTTCAATAAAACATTATTTTATGAAGCATTAAACATTAAAACATATGTAGTAGTTTATTATTGCCATTGTATTACTGTAAACTGTTGTATCATATTTAGTTAAGTTAGTTTTCTGTTTATTGTTACCGAATGTTGGCATTTAATAATGTAGAAAAATTTCATTAAAAATGAGGGGGAAATACAATAAAGGAGTCAATACTGTTTGCGGTGAAGTTACTCTATTGTAAGATTTTATTGAAAAACATTAACTGCATTTTTATGTCACTTTTTCTGTTGAATAATGAAAACAGCTTACTGAAAAAATAATAATAATAACAAAAACAGCATGGTATTTTCATGATTTTCATCAAATATAAAACACTGCATTCCTTATTTAAACATGAAATGAGTAAATATTAACAAAAAAATAATTAAAGGTTGCAAAGACATTAAGTACTTAAACTACAAATACAATAATTATCTGTGGTCACATGGCAAGGCAGAAGATATCTTTTTTATTAAACCAAATAAAATTGCAATGTCATAAGAAGAGATATATTTCTGGAGCCAGGGAACATTTGACTTGATTTGATAAATTTGACTTGTACTGTACACTGCTATTATGCTTCCCCTATTTTTGGCTTATATCAGCCGAAGAGACTTTTTCCTGTTTCTGTGGTGCAGACAGTGAGAGGGGGTGTAGAAGTAAAGTAGAAAAACATACCTGCTACGTCACAACTCATTTTTGCGAGTAAACTGCTGCAGATGAGCGATAGAGGAAAATCAAAATTCATGTAGAGAAGTATTGTTGTTGAAATCAATTGTAATATTAATCTAATTTAAATATATGAATCATTAATTATTACAAAACTATTTTAATATAAATTCAAATTTTTTTTTTTTTTGACTGGGCATGTGAAATAATATGAAAAATATTTAAGCTTAAATTCATTCAATTTCATTAATTACGATGACTGGGCATGTAAAAATCATCACATAAAATAATATTTTATAAGCTGATCATTGAATTTGAATAATTCTGTTTGATGACTGCACATGTAAAATAATCATTATGATTCTTCTTTATTTTATTTTTTTTTTAAGAATTTTGATGACTGTATGGGCTTGTAAAAATTACAGGAAATAATAGATTTTTCGTAAATATTTAAGTTTATGATTCATTTTGAATTACGTACAGTAAGCTTAATCTTTTTTCATTTTTAAAGAATTTCAATCTATCACATGAAATAATGCTTTGAAAAGAATAATTTCATAATTTTGAATGAACATATTTAAGCTCACAAAATACTTACAAGCAGCTTTTTTTGTGGGCATTTCATCAAACGTATGGACACAAATGGTACTGGAATGGCTCATATACAACCGTATTGATACTAACTGCAATTGTGAACACTTCACTTGAATAGTTTTTGTTCTCGGCTACAAATCTAATGTCTTTTCTTGCCTTTTTCCTCCTCTTTTCTGTCTGTCCTGTCTTTTCCCCTCCCTCGTTCTTCTCTCTCTCTGTTGCACAGATGAACAGGCCAATCCAGGTGAAGCCAGCTGACAGTGAGAGCAGGGGAGGTAGATTTCCACTTCTCTTTTTTCTTCTTCCCTTCCTATTTCTCCCCCCACCTTCCTGTCACTCTAAATCAGTGTCACCATTACCGGTAGATGTCCCCTTCTTAAGTGTCATATATAATGACGCACCTCGATGAGACCCGACAGTCATACAGGGCCCCAGAGGATCTTGGGCCGGCCCTCACACGCCTTACATAAGTGACGGTCACTCTGATTATTACCCTCTGCTGAGGTGCTAGGAGAGCTACGATTTTTCAGTTTTAGTGTTTTTGTATGGACATATACTGTTGTATGGAAGAGTAAAAATTTAGTTTTATGGTAAATTTAAGACTAAAAGTGTAAACTGGAAAACAGATGTTTTATTATGTTTAGTGTTAGTATTGTATTTATGGCTTCTCAAGACGTAAATTAAGTCACTTCCTTTTCATTATGTAATTTAAAATGAATTATTTCAAGTGGTGTGATGAGAAGAATTACCATTGTTAAACTGAATTTTAATAAGATATGAATTTTCAATTATTAGAAATCTCTTTTAAATATTTATTTGGTTATTTGTTTATTTTGATTATCTATGGAAGCTTATTTCTGCCATGGTATTTCTCTCACAGTTCAGATTTTTTTCCCTCACAATTCTAAATTTACAACTTGTGATTCTGACATTTGTTTCTCAGAATTCTGAGTTTTGCATGACGCAATTCTGTTTTTATTTCCTCCACAGAATAACAAAAAGGTAATTGTGACGTTTTATCTCATAATTGAGAATTCTTACTTTTTTCTTGCAATAGCGAGTTTATATCTCGCAATTCTGGCTTTATATGTCTCTCTATTTTTTTCTCAAAATTGTGAGAAAAAAAGAGAATTATGAGATATAACCTTTGTGAGAGAAGTGTCAGAGTTGTGATATTAATTTTTTATCCTGTGGCAGAAACATACTAATTTATTTATTATGATTATGGGTATATATTAAAAAAAATCATCACATGGAATCATATTTTAAATAGAATAGATTTATTTATTTATTTAATTTTTTTATTTTTTTCTTAATATCAGTTTAGTGGTTCTAGATAGCATAGAAAACAGAAAAAAATGAAGCCCATGCTTTGAAGCACCAGAACATTGTTGTTTATGGAAAACATAAAAATGAACATTAAAAGGTTCTCCTATGATTTCCTAAGAACTTTAATAAGGTCCCTTGTTGACATCATAAGAACTTAAGAAGGTTCACCTATGACTTAATAAAAACTTAAACATGTTCTCATGTGGCATCTTAGTAAGTTCTCTTATGAAGAAACTCTTTCGCCTTTGACATCATAAGAACATAAAAATTATATCATATTAAGTTTGTGGGTTTGTGTTCATGGGAGTGAAACTGAGTTTCCATGACTTTGCATGTGTGTCTGTGTGTCACTTACAGACAAAGTGGAAGTAGTTTGGTGAGAGAGAGCTCGTCTTTCCCCCCCTTTTTGGGTCAGATTTTTCAGATAACCAAGATTGATGGACCCACAGAGAGAGCGAGTCAGACATGGAGGCACCTCTCTCTCCTTCACAGCATCTCCCTTCATTTCATGCCATACGTTCGGTCCTTCCTCTAATTGAGAGTGTCTTCCTTTACTCACACTTGACAGATCAATTGTCTTTGTTGTGATGGACAGCTGAATTTATCCCCCTGTTAGCCCTGTAAAAACGCAATATATGTCCCTGCAAAGCCCTCTGATTCCACTGGCAAAACTGATGTGCCGTCCCCGACCGATCCATTCACTAGTCATTTAAAGTGAAACGCCGGGATGGCGAGAGAGATCTAAAGGTCAAAGTGGGAAAGACAAGGAAAGGAAGTGAGAGGCACAAAGACAGAAAGAGACTTAAAGGAGAGTTAGAAAGAAGACAAGGAGCTGGGGGCTGGTCATGAGAGACAAATAAGGATGGATATCAGAGGGAATGAGAGGAAACAGTTGGAGACATGGGTTAGAGACAACTAAACGAAAGACTTGTTCTAAACAAAATAGCTTTTTCTGTCCCACCATTATCAGAAAATGTGCACAATGTGATTTACACGTAGAACAACATTCCCGTTGACCAATCAGAGGCATTAAACCAAACCCTGAAAAAATCCTCAAGCCATGAAATCAGCGGACAGCAGCTGGTTGATTGGAATGCTGTTCCTGGAACAATGGCAACAATGTCATTTTTAAGTTTTAAAATATATATGAAGGTGATTTACATATAAATTATTGAGACATTTTGGGAATCAGACTGCTGGATTTATTTATGGTCCAAGGGGAAGAAGGGCTGAATGTGTTTTTATTTATTTATCTTTATTTTATTTATTTAATCGTTAATTTTATTTAGATTTACCTTAAATCAAATTCATTTTGTAGTTCATGTCTTCATATTCACTCCCTTTCATTTGACATTTCTAATTCTAAAATGTATTTTTTTACTGTCGTCGTATTTTTATTTTATCCAAAAATGTATAAAATAGAATTTTATAAAATGTATAAAAATTGTTTATTTTACCTTTGATTACGTAGATTTACCTTAAAGCAGATACAGATTTGAGATCATTTGTCTTCACAATCACCCTCTCTCATTTGACATTTCTAATTCTAAAATGTGTTTTTTTTTATTGTCGTCGTATTTTTATTTTATCCAAAAATGTATAAAATAGAATTTTATAAAATGTATAAAAATTGTTTATTTTACCTTTGATTACGTAGATTTACCTTAAAGCAGATACAGATTTGAGATCATTTGTCTTCACAATCACTCTCTCTCATTTGACATTTCTATTTTTAAAAAATGTAAATTATTTTTAAAAAGTATTATTGTTGTATTTGTATTTTATTTCTAACATTTTAATTTATAAAATTTGACATTTGTAAACATTTGTCACCCACTCTCATTTTGACATTTCTATTTGTAAATTTATTGTTGTATTGTTATATACATCTATCTATCTTTCTATCTATCTCTACATCTATCTATACATTCACATTTTTAATTTATTGTAATTTTACAAAATTTAAATTGATAAAATATATTGTTTATTTATTTTACCTTTATAGAGTTGATTTACCTTAAATCACATACAGCTTGTAAATCATTTGTCTTCACATTCACTCTAAGTATTGTTATATTTTTTATTTTATTTATAAAATGTGCAAAATTTACATTTATAAAATGTATAACCTACCTTAAATCAAAGGCAGCTTGTAGATTGTTTGTAACACTCACTCTTTCATTTGACATGGTGTTTGATTTTAAGCTATCTTCAGTGGCATTACTGTTACCTGTGTCTTGTGTGCGTCTTATTCCACATATGCGCACCTCACTTGTAAACATTCCCCACAGAGAGAGGCCGGACTAGAGATTAGTCTTGTTGACTGGGCAAGGACACCCTGTCAGAGCATGTTAGTGAGCGGCAGGCCTGGATAAACACAGGAACACACATACTCATACACAGTAGCGCTCATTAATATCTCTGCTGCATCATCCATCATACACACAAACACACACACATTACACATACACTTTTATTAAGTTTACCTATACAAACCCACCAGCATGATCAAACAGAACGTTCAGTTAAAGCACATTTTTTCTATAACCATTTACACACAATTGTTTTAAGCAAGTCTGTAATTATAATTATATTATATTTATAGTCTTTATTAAAAAACAATAGAAGTCTAGGGTAGGCCACCATTTAGATAGAAAGATAAATATGTGTGTGCATGTTTACACACTGTCATATTCAGTCCAATTCCCTCGGCGCCCTATAAATATGTGCCTTGTTTTTTAACTCTGTGCCTTGTCTTGAGTTTAAAACATGCAGCATTGACGCTGCAATTACAGCCTAATAAAACCCTGAAACAATACCGCTTTTGTTCCCCTCACGCTGATGTGTAATTCAATAATGTCGACATAATCCGATAAAGAAAAGCACAAACAATAAACAAGGACTCCTGAGGTGGCAGAATCGACTAGGCGAAAGGTTCTCCACAGATATCTCGCTCATGAACTCATTTCATTATACAGTAGCACCAACAGGCTTTTTTTTTAGTGCTTTGCTGGATTTAGCCACAGAAAATTGTATATTCGGTGGATAAAAAGCATGCATTGTGGGATTGTTCCAATGTGTTTGAAGAGCTTCTATTTATTTTTGGACTTTTCAGAAGTTTGTCTGTGCTGTTGCACTTTAGTAATGGTGACTTTTAATTGCTTTTTGATGACATTTTACAGTACTCACCTCATGCTTGTTTATTTTGAATATTATTATAAGATTCAGTCGTCTTTAATAATAAATGCTCAAATTTTTGCAAACACTGAGGAAAATGCAAACAGCGTATACAGTAAAATATAGTACAAATAGAAAAAAGAGGCGGTGTGCATATATTGAATTGAGCACAAGACATCAGACAGATGTTGTTTTTCCCCCTGTGTAGTCTGTAACAACTTCTCTGTGTTTGTTTCAGAAGACAGAAAACTCTTCGTTGGCATGCTGAATAAGCAACAATGTGAGGACGACGTGCGGCACCTTTTTGAGTCCTTCGGGAGCATTGAGGAGTGCACCATCCTCAGAGGTCCTGATGGAAACAGCAAAGGTTATTGGCTTCAGTCTGATTTTTTACAATCACTGAAGTGTACTTTTCAAGTCTGTATGTTAATATTCATTATTATATTATATTATATTATATTTCATGAAGAATATATATGTTTTTAAACCTTAAAGGTGCACTCTTACACTCATATAATGAAATATACATATGTGAAAAATATATATATATAAATATATAATAAAATAATATAAAAACTGCTTATTATAAAAATAATTTGTGGAGCAATATGGCTTCTTGACCCAGTTAGAGGGTCATCTCTCTCAACATTTTCTTTCTTTCACTTTGCTGATACTTGCTAAAATAAGATATGGAAGCCTAGAATTGTGTCTGTAAATGTCCAAGAGGATGTTTTTGACTGTTTTTTTTTCATCTCTTTAGGTTGTGCGTTTGTGAAGTATTCCACTCATGCAGAAGCTCAGGCCGCTATCAGTGCTTTACACGGCAGCCAAACCATGCCTGTGAGTGCCAGCACATGTGATCATGCACTTTTGTATCATTAGCATGTGTTAAGGCACAAAGAGTCCTCATTTTGTTTGTGTGTGTGTGTGTGTGTGTGTGTGTGTGTGTGTATGCGTGTATGTGTGTGTGTTTCAGGGCGCTTCTTCCAGCCTGGTGGTGAAGTTTGCAGACACAGATAAGGAACGGACCGTTCGACGCATGCAGCAGATGGCCGGTCAGATGGGCATCTTCAATCCAATGGCCCTGCAGTTTGGAGCGTACGGCGCCTATGCACAGGCAAGAGCTCTCTCTCTCATTACACACTATTCCCAACAAAACTGCAGCGTCTCAGTGGAAAAATCTGTCGACTCTAAAGTCTTGATTATACACAGTGCTCCATGCATTATGTGATTGTTATCTTAGTGTGGTAATATATATATATATATATTTACAGTGGTGTGTGTGTGTGTGTGTGATTTTGTCCGTCAGGTTCAACAGCAGGCAGCACTGATGGCATCAGTGGGTCAGGGAGGATATCTCAGCCCTATGGCGGCTTTTGCAGCCGCACAGATGCAACACATGGCCACCATCAACGGCCTCCCAGGGGCTCCCATGACCCCAACATCAGGTGAGGAAACACACACAAGCATGCAGACATTCCCAGACTGTATGGGGTTCAGCTTTAAAGACTTTTAATTATTCATGGCTATCATTTTTGCTTCCTCCCCCCCTTAAGTCATAGGAAATAGTTTGAAAGTGTTTTTTTGTTTGTTTTTTTCGTTTGCATCTATGGAAAAAGCCATAGATGGTTTATAAGAGCATGTGGGTATGGATGTTATGTATCTTGTGTACTTACATTATCCCAAATGTTTCGAAGAATGTTTAAATGTTAAAATTTCTAGAAAACATGGAAACATGGAAAACGCTTTAATATGTTATGCGTTTTATTAGACAGGTGACGACCGCACAGAGTAGCATTATAACAGAACTTTCAAACGTATCTAGTATGATAAAACAGTGCTGCTTTTTTTCCCCACATACGCACACGACCGGAAGGAGCGGAAGCAGTCGACTGTGGCATAATAAAAGCTCAGCTGCTTTCGAGCCGAGCCGTGTGTCGCGCTCGTTCAGCGGCTTCGTTTCACTTCGACGGCTTTCAGTCTCACCCTGCTTCATTCTACTACCTTAATAAATCATTAGCTCATCCATGAACATGATTTCTGCCCGAGTCCCATGGGATTGCTTCGGCTGTGGGGATGAAAACCACAACTCCCATGATTCCACACTCAGTCATGGCGTCATCAAACTATGCCTTTGCTTCTTTGTTTATTTTGAATATGCGTCCTCTAGCAGCGAAAATTACATATTGTGCCTTTAAGTAAACAATTTAAACTCATTTATTATATGAATAATAATACATAATTTAAACTTTAGAAATAGTCATTAGTAATAAAATGAAGAAATATTATTTGGTAGCACTTTACAATACGTTTAAAATATGCTCTCTTCTCCTTGGCCCCGCCCCCAGGTGGAAGCACGCCCCCTGGCATCACAGCTCCCACGGTGACCAGCATTCCATCTCCAATTAGTGTCAACGGTTTCACAGGGCTGCCTCCTCCTCAGGCCAACGGCCAGGCCCCAGCGGAGGCCATGTTTACCAATGGGATCCATCCTTACCCAGGTACTACATGCTCTCATCCACAGATATACAGCAGAAATATAGCAGATTTTAACTTTAAATTATATTTAAAAACTCTATAGACAAACTTTATGGTTACACTTTGCAACAGTAATATACAGGACTAATAATACAATTTTTATGTCGTCATCCTATTTTGAAAATTAATGTCAGTGAATTACAGTATTTCTTGCAGTGTAATCAAATTTTATGTTTGTACATTGTGCACTGTTTACTTATGTGTTTAGGAATATAAGTGTTCTTCCTTTTGATGAGTCTGCAGTCTTTTAGTAAACACGGAAGCATGTCATTAAATATGTTTCTGGAAGTTTCTACGGTTACACTTTACTTGAAGGGGTGTGCATAAGACTGACATGACACCTTCATAATCATGACATTACACATGTCATGAATATAAAGGGTTTTTATGCATGTTTATGACAACTGTCATTAAGTGTCATTCGCTCAGTTCTGTAATTTTTAATGCAAAGATGACATTGTCTTTGTTATGGGCTATGGTTAGGGGTAAGGGTAGGGGTAGGGTTAGGTTAGGGTTAGGTCAAATAATGTCATATTTGCATTAAAAATTACATAACTGAGCAAATGACACTTAATGGGAGTTGTCATAAACATGCATAAAACCTCCTTCATATTCATGACATGTGTCATGTCATGATTATGAAGGTGTCATGTCAGTCTTATGCACACCCCTTCAAGTAAAGTGTTACCGTTTCTACTTTAACTGCATTTGGAAATGCCCAGTGGTCGGCTGGAAGCTGTCACAGTGCGAGTCTGTGTGTGTTGTGGATTGGTATTCATGTTCAGTGCCACAAAAAAAAAGCAAATGCTGTTCAGTGCCACAAAAAAAAAAGCAAATGCCCGTCTCCTGGCTGTATCCCAGTTTTGCAGGAAGTGGTGTTTAGGGAAGACTCGGAGAAGGGCGGCCTGGGCGTGGCACAGAGAAGTTGTTTTGGGGTTCAGGGAAGCTGCTTCCTGTCGTCTCTCTCAGAAGGTATAGAACTCCCTCAGACGTTAGTGTCGTGCAGTGTTGTTTTACTGTGTGTGTCTGGTGAGTGTGTGTGTGTATACGCTATACGGTAGACAGAGGGAGTGAAAGACATGTGAGTAGTTTCTTTATGTTTGTTTGTTTGGTGTCGTCAGCTTTGTAGAGTGTTGTTGTTGTTGTAGTGTGGCTATAGTTATATGTGCATGCATTGTATTTGGCAGACGCTTTCATTTAAAGCTCAAGGGCAAGAGGTGATGCTCACACCTTCCGGAGTTCAATCCTACAGGCTTTTGGTTAGCAGCCCTGCACTTTACAGTATCCATTAGGATACACAACAACCATCGAGTCAAGTCACGTTTATACAATTCAGATTGTGTCAAAGCTTCACAGTAATAAAAAGGAAAAAAGGTGCTGTCATTGCAGAATTGATCAATTATGAAACAAAGACAATTTCTGCTATAAGCAGCTCTACAGAAGACAATAGTGTTCAACTCAAGTCAGTTCAGTATTGATTCAGTTCAGTTCAATAACAGTGTCAGTTTTGCAAAGTCAAAATGTAATACATTTAAAAGCAGGTCTACAGTAGGCGACGTTGCCATTATTCAGCTCAGTTTAAATTGTCTTCTCATCCAACAAATAATGAAACTTTAATCTGATTATATGTAATATATATGCTCTAAATTGCTACATTAGATTTTTTTCACAGAATTTTGGAGAAAATTAAAAATACAATAAAATTGGAGAGAATTAAAAATACAATAAAAGTCTTGCTTACATTTGAAATGTAAAAAGAATTAATGCATGTTTTGTGTACTGTTTTTCACTAAATGAAGCATGACATTTAAAACGTTTTTATTTATATTCACTAATATATGACAATATGTATAATTATGTTTATTATTTATTTACCTACATATATTTCTGGTGAAATGATTTTAAAAAATCTCTTTCCTGCAAAAGCATTGGACCAACAACTCTCATTGAACTAACAATTTACCCAAAAAATTACATTTTATAATTTACTGAACCTCATATCAATATGCTAAATAGTATAATAACATCTATAGAACATATTAGAAATTATTTTATCATTTTAACTATATTATCTTAAATTAGTGTACAAAAAGATCTGCCTAACAAGACAAACACTGCAACATTACATTAATATTAATAAGTTTTCTGATGTCATTTTCACGATCAATACATTTGATAACTAAAATGATGGCACTAATTACATTTATATAAAAAGTCCACAGTGTAATACGAGGTATATGAAAGTTGCATTGCTCTTCGTTCCCCTGGTAAGCAGTCTAATATAGCATTGCCATGGATGACAACAAATATTAGGAAATATCTGACATATGAATGCCGTGATTGACTAAGTATTGCAGAAAGCCAGTGTAATTTTCAGTGTAATTCACTGAAAATCTAGGTCATCTTAATTTTTTTATGAGCATACAGGTTTGGAATAACATGAGGGTGAGTAAATGATGACAGGATGTTCATATTTGGCTGAATTCTCCCAGCTTTTAAGTGAAATGTTACTCGATAGGCCACAAACACCCAATCCTGAGTGTGGATGCTGCAGTGTTTACCGTGTCAGTGTTTTAATAGCGTTAAGTTACCAGGCTGCGAGTATGTGTATCGGTGTTTAGAACAGAGCGTCGCAGGGCTGGACCTGAATTGCCTTTATTACTGTGAAAGCTCTCAGCTGATTGATGTGCCGTGTAGTGCCGTAGATCTATATTGTTCTCCGTACACTCTCCGGCTGTCTTTCCAACTCTCGGGCAGCGGGAAGCTTGGCAGGGCCCTGTGCGAGCGCCACGGCTTAATTGTTTGGGGTGAACGGTGAAGGGGAGGGAAGTGAGGTAAGCTCATTCCCGGCGCACAGCTCTGCCCGAACACACTCAAACGCACTCAGTGACCCCAACTGTGTCTGTAATGCTCTCATCTCTCTCTTTCCTCAGCTCAGAGTCCCACTGCAGCAGACCCCCTACAGCAGGCCTACGCTGGAGTCCAACAATATGCAGGTCTGTCACTCAAAAGGAGGCTGTTTGTGATTTTCCTGCTTCCGAGTTAATAAAAAGTGCATGCGCTGTCTACGTGTGCTGGAATAAGAGGTGGGGAATGTGTGTGTGTTATCTGACACATTGGCGCGTGTGTGTGTGTGTCTCAGCAGCCTTCCCCGCTGCATATGGACAGATCAGCCAGGCCTTTCCCCAGCCGCCTCCCATCATCCCTCAGCAACAGAGAGAAGGTGAGTCTGTCGCCTCCAGATATGTCACCTGTAAGAGTGAAGGATTCAACGTGGTCACTCTGTGACATTTTCTGTAATTGTCTTTTCATTGATGTCCTATTAATATGAGATTTTATACATCGATTGTGCTGTATGCAGCTCAAAAGTTAATGATCAGTAAGATTCTGAAAGGACGCATTAAATTAATCAAAAGTGACAGTAAAGACATTTATAATGTTACAAAAGATTTCTGTTTCTGTTCTTTTGAACTGTTCAAAGTAAAATACATACAAATCAAATCAACAAACCCTAACAAGACGAGTTAAAATGATTGTCTCTGGTGAATGATGGCCTGTCAGAGATCAACAGACGTTAAGGAAATAACCTAGAATGATCCTTTAAGTTAGATTTGGTGCTCTTGGCTGACTGTGTGAAACATTAAACACAAGATTGTGGTTTCGTCTCCCTCCAGTGGCTGCTATTATAAACTATACAGAAATATTACCAATAAACCATCATACAGAGTCACTATCTGTACTCTTACTTTACCAAAAAGGAAGACGACTGCTATGCAGATGACAGGAACCCATGTGCACAATTTGTCAATTGAGGAGTAAAGAGAGTTTCATGTCTGTGGTTCTCATGAGCTGTTATGCATTATAGAATGTTATAATGTTTGTTAATTAAAGTTATTAGAAACCGATGTGCATGAGTTCTTTTTGGGACAATGGACAAAACCAGCTTAACTTTATTCACCATATATTTGTTGATTGTTATGGATTCTAAAACAAGGAATTATGCATATAAAAATAAATAAATAAAAATTAGTGCTGTCAAATGATTAATCACGATTAATCGCATCCAAAATAAGTTTTTGTTTATATATGTTTGTACTGTGTATATTTATTATGCATTTATAAATACACAAATATACATGTATTTATTTTAAAAATATTTACATGTGTATATATATTTATTTTCATATATAATTCATATTATATATAAATATTTTATATATAAACAAAACATATTTTTCTTAAATATATACATGCATGTGTGTGTATTTATATAAACATAATAAATATACACAGTACATACGCATATATTATGTAAACAAAAACTTTTATTTTGGATGCGATTTAATCGTTTGACAGCACTAATAAAAATATAATGTACTACAAACTTTATACAAAATAAATACAACACCAATGATGTTTTATTAGCATTGCTAGTTTTTCAATCATGTATCTTTGCACAGCCAGTATATGCTGCAGTCATTCCCTTTGGATTGTGGTCTGTGGTGTATGATGGGCCTTAGATTTGTCCCAAGAAATTAAAAACAAACTTTGCAATCAGAGTAAGTGCCGTGATTCGATGAAAAAGCTCAAGGTCATCAGAGGAGATCATAATGACGATGATCCGTGAACTAATAATTTCGATCAAGCAGTTTGTCCTTTCTCCATATACAAATGTTACGAATTGTAAATGAGTTTCGCCTATACAGTGCTTTTCTGTCATTTTACACTCAGTTTGAAGGAAGAGCTAATCTAAAGCAACTCTTTTCAGGAGTGCCTGAAGAACCTGGAGGTGTCACCACCGAGTATTTGTTTGTACGGTTATTTCATCTATACAACTTAAGAAGAGAATTGCTATTTCAGATGCCAGGGCAACTGCTCAATAAAGAGAAACTGTTTCTATAGCTTCTACTTTGGCAAGCTGAGTCTAATTTCACCATTTGTCTCTTTGTTTGAACCCGCATCTCTCTTTATTCCTCTCATTTGCACCTATTCTTTCTGTGCTACCTGTCTAACCGCCTCTCTAATCCTTTGTATCCCACAATCCTCCTTGTCTTTCTCTCTCTTTCTCTGTCTCCAGGGCCGGAGGGCTGTAACCTGTTTATTTATCACCTCCCTCAGGAGTTTGGGGACGGCGAGCTGATGCAGATGTTCCTGCCTTTCGGTAATGTCATCTCCTCCAAAGTGTTTGTGGATCGGGCGACAAACCAAAGTAAATGCTTTGGTGGGTAAAAATGATAAGACACCTGTGAAGATTATTCTCATTCCTACTCACACTATTAACATTTTTACCTCATTTCTCTACCACAGCGAAGCTTTCGTTTGAAGCCGGGTGCGCACTGTGTGGTTTTTGCTACGATCCGTTCGTCGGGCTAAATGGAGTTTTAGATCACTTGGTATAACATGTTTATCAATAAGCAACTTTTACAATGAATCGTAGCTTCTTAAGTTTTCCAGTGTCTGAAATTTTAACGGAAGCAATGGATTTGAGCTTGTGCCAATTAAATATCTTCATTGTAACCAGACTATCAAAATTATTAAAAGTGGCAAATCCATTTGTGCAGTTTGGGGTTTTTCATTTTGGATTTATGTTATTACTTCGGATTCGTGTGAAAATGCCAAAGTCAGAACAAACCCTGGTGACATGGTCAAAGTCGTAGATAATATGCATATTTTACACCTAAAATGTTGTTTCATCATCCAGTCTGAGAAGCAACAGGACAGGGAAAAAAAATCACACAGTGTTCACCTGGCTTGAGACAGGAAAAAAGAATGAATGGAAATTTAAAGGGAAAAAAGAAGAGGATGTAGTGTAGCATCTTTATGTCCTTAATCAGCGCGGGACATGAGGCTGTAGGGGGAAACCGCAGAAGCGTGTTCACGTGTCCTGCTCGTGACTAACGTGAACCTCTATATTTTAATTAGCGCTATCTGCAGCTTCACTGGCTCCTTGACTTATCAGAGGCATCCCATGCGTGAACAAACACAACGCTATTCGATTTCGACTTAATATAAATGCAGTTAGCGGGAGGTGTTTCAGAGACTCAGACTTGATGATTTAAAATGCTGAGCTAGCTGAAATGTTCACAATACCTCAAGACAGAACAACCGAGAGTGAGAAAATAGATGAGAAAATGAGAGCAAATAATTTAACGGACCGTTCGACGCATGCAGCAGATGGCCGGTCAGATGGGCATCTTCAATCCGATGGCCCTGCAGTTTGGAGCGTACGGCGCCTATGCACAGGCAAGAGCTCTCTCTCTCATTACACACTATTCCCAACAAAACTGCAGCGTCTCAGTGGAAAAATCTGTCGACTCTAAAGTCTTGATTATACACAGTGCTCCATGCATTATGTGATTGTTATCTTAGTGTGGTAATATATATATATATATATATTTACAGTGGTGTGTGTGTGTGTGTGTGATTTTGTCCGTCAGGTTCAACAGCAGGCAGCACTGATGGCATCAGTGGGTCAGGGAGGATATCTCAGCCCTATGGCGGCTTTTGCTGCCGCACAGATGCAACAGATGGCCACCATCAACGGCCTCCCAGGGGCTCCCATGACCCCAACATCAGGTGAGGAAACACACATACACACGCGCAGACATTCCCAGACTGTATTGGTTTCAACTTCAAAGTCTTTTAATTATTTTTGGTTATCATTTTTGCTTTTTTCCCTTTACTAAGTCATAGTAAATAAGAGCGTTTTTTATTCTTGTTTGGTAAGAGCCATAGATGATTTATAAGGGCATGTTAAAGGCACAATATGTAATATTTTTTAATAAAAATATTCAAAAACCACTAGAACAGTGTTATGTATTTTGCTGACTTGTGTACTTACATTATCCCAAATGTTTCGAAGAATGTTTAAATGTTAAAATTTCTAGAAAACATGGAAACACCAAAGACGCTTTAATATGTTATGCGTTTTATTAGACAGGTGACGACCGCACAGAGTAGCATTATAACAGAACTTTCAAACGTATCTAGTATGATAAAACAGTGCTGCTTTTTTTCCCCACATACGCACACGACCGGAAGGAGCGGAAGCAGTCGACTGTGGCATAATAAAAGCTCAGCTGCTTTCGAGCCGAGCCGTGTGTCGCGCTCGTTCAGCGGCTTCGTTTCACTTCGACGGCTTTCAGTCTCACCCTGCTTCATTCTACTACATTAATAAATCATTAGCTCATCCATGAACATGATTTCTGCCCGAGTCCCATGGGATTGCTTCGGCTGTGGGGATGAAAACCACAACTCCCATGATTCCACACTCAGTCATGGCGTCATCAAACTATGCCTTTGCTTCTTTGTTTATTTTGAATATGCGTCCTCTAGCAGCGAAAATTACATATTGTGCCTTTAAGTAAACAATTTAAACTCATTTATTATATGAATAATAATACATAATTTAAACTTTAGAAATAGTCATTAGTAATAAAATGAAGAAATATTATTTGGTAGCACTTTACAATACGTTTAAAATATGCTCTCTTCTCCTTGGCCCCGCCCCCAGGTGGAAGCACGCCCCCTGGCATCACAGCTCCCACGGTGACCAGCATTCCATCTCCAATTAGTGTCAACGGTTTCACAGGGCTGCCTCCTCCTCAGGCCAACGGCCAGGCCCCAGCGGAGGCCATGTTTACCAATGGGATCCATCCTTACCCAGGTACTACATGCTCTCATCCACAGATATACAGCAGAAATATAGCAGATTTTAACTTTAAATTATATTTAAAAACTCTATAGACAAACTTTATGGTTACACTTTGCAACAGTAATATACAGGACTAATAATACAATTTTTATGTCGTCATCCTATTTTGAAAATTAATGTCAGTGAATTACAGTATTTCTTGCAGTGTAATCAAATTTTATGTTTGTACATTGTGCACTGTTTACTTATGTGTTTAGGAATATAAGTGTTCTTCCTTTTGATGAGTCTGCAGTCTTTTAGTAAACACGGAAGCATGTCATTAAATATGTTTCTGGAAGTTTCTACGGTTACACTTTACTTGAAGGGGTGTGCATAAGACTGACATGACACCTTCATAATCATGACATTACACATGTCATGAATATAAAGGGTTTTTATGCATGTTTATGACAACTGTCATTAAGTGTCATTCGCTCAGTTCTGTAATTTTTAATGCAAAGATGACATTGTCTTTGTTATGGGCTATGGTTAGGGGTAAGGGTAGGGGTAGGGTTAGGTTAGGGTTAGGTCAAATAATGTCATATTTGCATTAAAAATTACAGAACTGAGCGAATGACACTTAATGACAGTTGTCATAAACATGCATAAAACCTCCTTCATATTCATGACATGTGTCATGTCATGATTATGAAGGTGTCATGTCAGTCTTATGCACACCCCTTCAAGTAAAGTGTTACCGTTTCTACTTTAACTGCATTTGGAAATGCCCAGTGGTCGGCTGGAAGCTGTCACAGTGCGAGTCTGTGTGTGTTGTGGATTGGTATTCATGTTCAGTGCCACAAAAAAAAAGCAAATGCTGTTCAGTGCCACAAAAAAAAAAGCAAATGCCCGTCTCCTGGCTGTATCCCAGTTTTGCAGGAAGTGGTGTTTAGGGAAGACTCGGAGAAGGGCGGCCTGGGCGTGGCACAGAGAAGTTGTTTTGGGGTTCAGGGAAGCTGCTTCCTGTCGTCTCTCTCAGAAGGTATAGAACTCCCTCAGACGTTAGTGTCGTGCAGTGTTGTTTTACTGTGTGTGTCTGGTGTGTGTGTGTGTGTGTGTGTGTGTGTGTGTGTGTATATATGGGATATGGTAGACAGAGGGAGTGAAAGACATGTGAGTAGTTTCTTCATGTTTGTTTGGTGTGGTCAGCTTTGTAGAGTGATGTTGTTGTTGTTGTAGTGTGGCTGTAGTTTTATGTGCATGCATTGTATTTGGAATACACTTTCATTTAAAGTGACTCGCTCAAGGGCACAATGGTGATGCTTATGCCTTCCGGAGTTCAATTCTACAAGCTTTTGGTTAGCAGCCCACAACTTTTTCCATCAAGCTACACAACAACCAACAGTGAACTGTGTTTCCTTTAAAGGGATAATTCACCAAAAAATGGTATCCTCATTTACTCACCCTGAACCAATGTTGTTCATGCTGTTTCATACAGCAAAAAAATATAGGGACATAGGAGCATTGAATAGTAAGAACAGGCAATATTATATAATAACACACACAAGTCACATTTATTTATATAGTGCTTTATACAATACAGAATGTGTCAAAGAAGCTTCACAGTAATAAACTAACAGTGTGAAAATAACAGTGTCATTGTTGCAGAATTCATCACTTATGAAACAAATTCATTTTTTAGTTTGTTCATTTTTAGTGTTGATTCAGTTCAGTTCAATAACAGTGTCAGTTTTGCAAAGTTCATCAATTATGAAAAATTCAATTCAGTTATCAGAAGCTCTACAGAAGGCAATGTTGCCATTATTCAGTTCAATTGACCCTTCGCAAAGACCCACCCCCCTTAGTTACTGTTGCTACGTCTGACAAGCCATGTTGCTCTCACAGCACACATCATGTTCTCACGCAGTGAAAAATACATTGTGGAGCAAAGAGGAAACTGACAACACGCCGACAGACAAGACGGAGCAGGTTACTTTTGGTATGAAACAAAGTCTCAGCTTTCAAATGTTGTCATTTTTTAAGAAATACAAACAATAAATGCCGTTTTGTGCCGTTGGCTCTAATGTGTCGTGACAAATCACTGTAGCGCCTCAGTTTAAGCGGCACGTGAACTGATCATCTCTTCCTCAAAATAAACATGAATGAATATCAGAAGGTATTTTGTTTCAACCAAAACACACCATTTTTCAAGTTTAAAGTCCACCAACATTAATCTACTCTCCTGTCTGGTTTGTTTGTCGGACAAAATGGTATATTCAGTGTTATAATTGGTCAGATCGCCTGTCAATCAAACTCCCGCCTAAGGGTCGATTCAGTTCAGATTTTCTTCTCATCTGACAAATAATTAACAATAATTTTGATTATATGTAATATTTATTGATATTTAAATATGCTCTAAAATGCTAAATTACATTTTATTTTTTTGCAAATGAAGAAAACATTTTAATGAAATGAATAATAAAAATATAAGAATTAAAATACAATAAAAGTCTTGATTGCATTAAAAATTTAAAAATAATTAAAGGGATAGTTCACCCAAGAATGAAAATTTGATGTTTATCTGCTTACCCCCAGGGCATCCAATATGTAGGTGACTTTGTTTCTTCAGTAGAACACATTTGATGATTTTTAACTCCAGCCGTTGCAGTCTATAGTCGTATAATGCATGGCAATAGTAACAAAATCTATGAGAGTAAAAAAAACATGCACAGACAAATCCCAATAAAACCCTGCGGCTCGTGACGACACATTGATGTCCTAAGACACGAAACGATCGGTTTGTGCCAGAAACCGAACAGTATTTATATAATTTTTTACCTCTAATACACCACTATGTCCAACTGCTTTGAGCGCACGCACAGCGTCTGGTGCGTGAGGTGTGTACGCGCTCTGGCATAGTTTACGTTAATGGGTGTGTGTTGATATCCAGCCGAAGAGCAATCAACCATAACTTCAGGCGAGCAGGCTCAGAAGTTGGGAATACGTGGAAAGTCACCACTCCCGAATGAGTTCGCGCGAGAGAACGTAATCTTTTAGTTTTAAGTCGGTTTGAACAATCCGGATAAGCGCAAGTAAGTACCATTTTGATTAGCCGTCGTACCTACAATGACTGTGCACTGTGTAAACAAAGAGATTCAGTTCAGTTCAATAACAGTGTCAGTTTTGCAAAGTTCATCAATTATGAAAAATTCAATTCAGTTATCAGAAGCTCTACAGAAGGCAATGTTGCCATTATTCAGTTCAATTGACCCTTCGCAAAGACCCACCCCCCTTAGTTACTGTTGCTACGTCTGACAAGCCATGTTGCTCTCACAGCACACATCATGTTCTCACGCAGTGAAAAATACATTGTGGAGCAAAGAGGAAACTGACAACACGCCGACAGACAAGACGGAGCAGGTTACTTTTGGTATGAAACAAAGTCTCAGCTTTCAAATGTTGTCATTTTTTAAGAAATACAAACAATAAATGCCGTTTTGTGCCGTTGGCTCTAATGTGTCGTGACAAATCACTGTAGCGCCTCAGTTTAAGCGGCACGTGAACTGATCATCTCTTCCTCAAAATAAACATGAATGAATATCAGAAGGTATTTTGTTTCAACCAAAACACACCATTTTTCAAGTTTAAAGTCCACCAACATTAATCTACTCTCCTGTCTGGTTTGTTTGTCGGACAAAATGGTATATTCAGTGTTATAATTGGTCAGATCGCCTGTCAATCAAACTCCCGCCTAAGGGTCGATTCAGTTCAGATTTTCTTCTCATCTGACAAATAATTAACAATAATTTTGATTATATGTAATATTTATTGATATTTAAATATGCTCTAAAATGCTAAATTACATTTTATTTTTTTGCAAATGAAGAAAACATTTTAATGAAATGAATAATAAAAATATAAGAATTAAAATACAATAAAAGTCTTGATTGCATTAAAAATTTAAAAATAATTAAAGGGATAGTTCACCCAAGAATGAAAATTTGATGTTTATCTGCTTACCCCCAGGGCATCCAATATGTAGGTGACTTTGTTTCTTCAGTAGAACACATTTGATGATTTTTAACTCCAGCCGTTGCAGTCTATAGTCGTATAATGCATGGCAATAGTAACAAAATCTATGAGAGTAAAAAAAACATGCACAGACAAATCCCAATAAAACCCTGCGGCTCGTGACGACACATTGATGTCCTAAGACACGAAACGATCGGTTTGTGCCAGAAACCGAACAGTATTTATATAATTTTTTACCTCTAATACACCACTATGTCCAACTGCTTTGAGCGCACGCACAGCGTCTGGTGCGTGAGGTGTGTACGCGCTCTGGCATAGTTTACGTTAATGGGTGTGTGTTGATATCCAGCCGAAGAGCAATCAACCATAACTTCAGGCGAGCAGGCTCAGAAGTTGGGAATACGTGGAAAGTCACCACTCCCGAATGAGTTCGCGCGAGAGAACGTAATCTTTTAGTTTTAAGTCGGTTTGAACAATCCGGATAAGCGCAAGTAAGTACCATTTTGATTAGCCGTCGTACCTACAATGACTGTGCACTGTGTAAACAAAGAGTGACGTATACGCGCGAGAGATCACTTTTGGTGCTTGCGTAAACTACGCCAGAGCGCGTACACACCTCACACACCGGATGCCGTACGCGTGCTCAAGGAAGTTGGACATTGCGGTGAATCAGAGGTCAAAAATAATATAAATACTGTTCGGTTTCTGACACAAACCGATCGTTTCGTGTCTTAGGACATCAATGTGTCGTCACAAGCCGCTGGATTTAAATTGGATTTGTCTGTGCATGTTTTTTTTACTCTCATAGATATTGTTACCATTGCCATGCATTATACGACTGATAGACTGCAACGGTTGGAGTTAAAAATCATCATATGTGTTCTACTGAAGAAACAAAGTCACCTACATCTTGGATGCCCTGGGGGTAAGCAGATAAACATCAAATTTTCATTCTTGGGTGCACTATCCCTGTAAGGCATGCTTTGTGTACTGTTTTTCACTAAAAGTATGACATATAAATTAACTAAAAAATATTTTTTTTTTTTATCATTTGATTTTTTTTTTTTAAACCTGTATGTCCTGCTAAATCATTGGACCAACAACTATCATTGAACTGTGGTGCCTTTAAAGAGATAATTCACCAAAAATAAAAATTTTACCATCATTTACTCAACCTCATGTCAATACACAAAATAATATAATAACATGTATATTATGCATATTTATGCAATTTCAATTACAAAACAATCTGCATAAGACGAACATTGCAAGAATATTAGAGAAATATTAATATTGAAGTTCTCTGAGGCCGTTTTCATGTTCAATACGTTCGATAACTAAAATTATGGTGCTAATTGCGTTTATATAAAACAAGAGCACGCAAGTCCTCAGTGTGATATGAGAGATGTTGCATTGCGTTCAGTTACCCAGTTGAGCAGTCTGATATTTTGCATTGCCATGGATGACAACAAATGTTAGGAAATATCTGACGCCTGAATGCTGTGATTGACCAATCAGAAACAAGTATTCCAGAGAGCCAGCGTAATTTTCAGTGTAATTCACTGAAAATATAGGCCATCTTCATCTTCTTTTGTTCATACAGATTTGGAACGACATGACAGTTCATTTTTGGCTTAATTCCCCCTGGTTTTAAGTATAATGTTACTCACAAGTCCATCAAATGAGCCCCAAGCACACAATCCTGAGTGTGGATGCTGCAGTATTTACCGTGTTAGTGTTTTAGCAGCGTTAAGTTAGCAGGCTGTGAGAATGTGTATCAGTGTGTAGAACAGGAGCGTCGCGGGCCGGGCCTGAATTGCCTTTATTACTGTGAAAGCTCTCAGCTGATTGATGTGCCGTGTAGAGTTGTAGCTCTATATTGTTCTCTGTACACTCTCCGGCTGTCTTTCCAACACTCGGGCAGCGGGGAAGCTTGGCAGGGCCCCGTGCGAGTACTACGGCTTAATTGTTTGGGGGTGAACGATGAGGGGGAGGGAAGTGAGGTAAGATCATTCTCGGTGCACAGCTTTCGGAAACACACTCAAGCGCACTCAGTGACCCCGACTGTGTCTGTAACGCTCTTGTCTCTCTTTCCGCAGCTCAGAGTCCCACTGCAGCAGACCCCCTACAGCAGGCCTACGCTGGAGTCCAACAATATGCAGGTCTGTCACTCAAAGGAGGCTGTTTGTTATTTTCCTGCTTCCCAGTTAATAAAAAGTGCATACGCTGTGTCTACGAGTGCTGGAATAAGAGGTGTGAAGTATGTGTGTGTGTTATTTGACACATTGGCGTGTGTGTGTGTCTCAGCAGCCTTCCCCGCTGCATATGGACAGATCAGCCAGGCCTTTCCCCAGCCACCTCCCATCATCCCTCAGCAACAGAGAGAAGGTGAGTCTGTCAGATATGTCACCTGTAAGAGTGAAGGATTCAACGTGGTCACTCTGTGACATTTTCTGTAATTGTCTTTTCATTGATGTCCTATTAATATGAGATTTTATACATCGATTGTGCTGTATGCAGCTCAAAAGTTAATGATCAGTAAGATTCTGAAAGGACGCATTAAATTAATCAAAAGTGACAGTAAAGACATTTATAATGTTACAAAAGATTTCTGTTTCTGTTCTTTTGAACTGTTCAAAGTAAAATACATACAAATCAAATCAACAAACCCTAACAAGACGAGTTAAAATGATTGTCTCTGGTGAATGATGGCCTGTCAGAGATCAACAGACGTTAAGGAAATAACCTAGAATGATCCTTTAAGTTAGATTTGGTGCTCTTGGCTGACTGTGTGAAACATTAAACACAAGATTGTGGTTTCGTCTCCCTCCAGTGGCTGCTATTATAAACTATACAGAAATATTACCAATAAACCATCATACAGAGTCACTATCTGTACTCTTACTTTACCAAAAAGGAAGACGACTGCTATGCAGATGACAGGAACCCATGTGCACAATTTGTCAATTGAGGAGTAAAGAGAGTTTCATGTCTGTGGTTCTCATGAGCTGTTATGCATTATAGAATGTTATAATGTTTGTTAATTAAAGTTATTAGAAACCGATGTGCATGAGTTCTTTTTGGGACAATGGACAAAACCAGCTTAACTTTATTCACCATATATTTGTTGATTGTTATGGATTCTAAAACAAGGAATTATGCATATAAAAATAAATAAATAAAAATTAGTGCTGTCAAATGATTAATCACGATTAATCGCATCCAAAATAAGTTTTTGTTTATATATGTTTGTACTGTGTATATTTATTATGCATTTATAAATACACAAATATACATGTATTTATTTTAAAAATATTTACATGTGTATATATATTTATTTTCATATATAATTCATATTATATATAAATATTTTATATATAAACAAAACATATTTTTCTTAAATATATACATGCATGTGTGTGTATTTATATAAACATAATAAATATACACAGTACATACGCATATATTATGTAAACAAAAACTTTTATTTTGGATGCGATTTAATCGTTTGACAGCACTAATAAAAATATAATGTACTACAAACTTTATACAAAATAAATACAACACCAATGATGTTTTATTAGCATTGCTAGTTTTTCAATCATGTATCTTTGCACAGCCAGTATATGCTGCAGTCATTCCCTTTGGATTGTGGTCTGTGGTGTATGATGGGCCTTAGATTTGTCCCAAGAAATTAAAAACAAACTTTGCAATCAGAGTAAGTGCCGTGATTCGATGAAAAAGCTCAAGGTCATCAGAGGAGATCATAATGACGATGATCCGTGAACTAATAATTTCGATCAAGCAGTTTGTCCTTTCTCCATATACAAATGTTACGAATTGTAAATGAGTTTCGCCTATACAGTGCTTTTCTGTCATTTTACACTCAGTTTGAAGGAAGAGCTAATCTAAAGCAACTCTTTTCAGGAGTGCCTGAAGAACCTGGAGGTGTCACCACCGAGTATTTGTTTGTACGGTTATTTCATCTATACAACTTAAGAAGAGAATTGCTATTTCAGATGCCAGGGCAACTGCTCAATAAAGAGAAACTGTTTCTATAGCTTCTACTTTGGCAAGCTGAGTCTAATTTCACCATTTGTCTCTTTGTTTGAACCCGCATCTCTCTTTATTCCTCTCATTTGCACCTATTCTTTCTGTGCTACCTGTCTAACCGCCTCTCTAATCCTTTGTATCCCACAATCCTCCTTGTCTTTCTCTCTCTTTCTCTGTCTCCAGGGCCGGAGGGCTGTAACCTGTTTATTTATCACCTCCCTCAGGAGTTTGGGGACGGCGAGCTGATGCAGATGTTCCTGCCTTTCGGTAATGTCATCTCCTCCAAAGTGTTTGTGGATCGGGCGACAAACCAAAGTAAATGCTTTGGTGGGTAAAAATGATAAGACACCTGTGAAGATTATTCTCATTCCTACTCACACTATTAACATTTTTACCTCATTTCTCTACCACAGCGAAGCTTTCGTTTGAAGCCGGGTGCGCACTGTGTGGTTTTTGCTCCAATTTCGCCCGTTTTAGGGATGGTAGGGCTAAAGAGTTTTTGATCACTTAGTATGTGACAAGCTCACCAATGAGCGATAAATTACTTTTACGATGAATCGTAACTTCTGAAGTTCTTCCTGTGTCTGAAATTTTGACGGGAAACTATGACGAACCACTTGTATACAACATATTCCACATAAATATCTTACGATGATATGTTATCGTTGTAATCAGACTATTAAAAGGACCAAAAGTTCACACTTAGCAAGTCGTTTGGGGTTTTTCATTTTGGATTTATGTTATTAATTCGGTTTCGTGTGAAAATGGCAATGTCAGAACAAAGCTGGACTGGTGACACGGTCAAAGTCGTAGATAATATGTATATTTTACACCTAAAATGTCGTTTCATTGTACAGTCTGAGAAGCACCAATCAAAGAGGACAGAAAAAAATCACACAGTGTTCACCTGGCTTATGACAGAAAAAAAGAATGAATGGAAAATTAAAGGGAAAATAAGAAGAGGATGTACTGTAGAGTAGCATCTTTATGTCCTTAATCAGCGTGGGACATGAGGCTGTAGGGGGAAACCGCAGAAGCGTGTTCGCGTGTCCCGCTTGTGACTAATGTGAACCTCTATATTTTAATTAGCGCTATCTGCAGCTTCACTGGCTCCTTGACTTATCAGAGGCATCCCATGCATGAACAAACACAACGCTGTTCGATTTCAACTTAATATAAACGCAGTTAGCAGGAGGTGTTTCACAGTCTCAGACGTGATTTGAAATGCTGAGCCAGCTGAAATGTTCACAATACCTCAAGACAGAACAACTGAGAGTGAGAAAGTAGATGAGAAAATGAGAGCAAATAATTTGCGTTGAAATGTTCATGTGTTAACTGAACAGAATTTTGCTGTCATTACTAAGACTTCAATAACAAGTTGAAGATGATTTTCACCATACACTTTGCTTACCAGAAAAAAACTACAAATATATAAATCGTAAACAAAAATAAATAATGCATTTTTGTTGAAATTCAAGCTACCTTTTTAATGAAGTAGCTACACTACAAATTACAAACAAACATAAACTTTACTTAAATGGGCAATATTTCTTAGACCCCATAAAATTAAAATGACAGTTTTATGGCTTTTAGTCCATGTTTGTTAGTTTTAACTCTATCTAAATGCTAGCAAACTTTGAAAAGTTTTCCACGAACCAAAAATATTAGCGATTCATCTTGCACATACACTGTAAAGAAAAATCAGTAACATTTACGGTAAAATACCGGCAAGCTGTGGTTGCCAAAACTTTACTGTAAAAGATATGGTTTCAGCATTTTAGGATTTACAGGAAAAAAACGTATTTCATTAACTGATAAAATGTTATTATACCAACCTAAAAGATATGTTTTCAGCATTTTAGGATGTACAAAAAAAAACGTATTTCATTAATTGATCAAATGTTATTACACCAACCTATTTAAGTACTAATATCTGTTTTGTAGCATTGAAATACACTGACAGCCACCAAAAACAAGTGGTGATGAGAAAGACACATGATGAATCAAAGCTCATCACATACAGCTTTTCCAGAAAGGAAATTGAGATTTATACATCATCTGAAAGCTGAATAAGTAAGCTTTCCAATGATGTATGGTTTTTTATGATAGGACAATATTTGGCCGAGACACAACTATTTAAAAATCTGGAATCTGAGGGTGCAAAAAAATCAAAATATTGAGAAAATCACCTTTAAAGTTATCCAAATGAAATTTTATATATTTACAGTAATACATTTACAAAATATCTTCATGGAACATGATCTTTACTTAATATCCTAATGATTTTTGGCATAAAAGAAAAATCAATCATTTTGAGCCATACAATATATTTTTGGCTATTGCTACAAATATACCCCAGCGACTGAAGGTGCACAGTGTCATTCACACAAACACTAAACACTATCATGGTAACACACGATACTGAAATAATGCAATAAACATTAATTTAACAACATTAGATGTAAGATAAAATCCTAATGTACACAACTGAGAAGATTGAGAAGAACCGAAAACGGAAGTTATTTCAACAAAAAAAGTATTTTTTCAACTTTTGTACACCAGATCGACATTTTGAGAAAAACCTTATAACTGGAAAAACTATTTCAAAAGATTTTGACAAAAAAATTAACATCAACTAAGCCATTTTCACTCACTGAAAGTGTAGTTAAGTTAGTAGTGTCACTATTTGTACTTCCCAGTGTGGCTGCTCGCATAGCAGAAATACAAATTTTCATTTAAATTTTACGAGACATTACACTATCTGAACATTAGCAGGTTAATTATTTTCTGTACTCTGCATGTCATTAAACCGAAGATCTGGCTAACTCCTGCTAATGCTAGGAGCGACTGGATATTGTGTATTAGATTTTGCATGTGCTCTGTGCTTCTGATTATTGTGTATAATATGTATGCTGTTGTACTGTATTGATGGACTTTGTGCATATATGTTGAATGTTAAACATGTGGTAAAAATGTGTCACAATGACTTAAGTAAACTTGTTCGATACCCTTTGCTCCTTCGTTCATTTCACGCTCACCTCATTCTTTGTCATAAAATCATTTCTGGCCTCATTTCTCCCCTTCCCTCAATCCTATCTAATGTCCATCTATCCATCGCATTACCTTCTCATCCATCTGGTGCTAACCTGTCGTCTTCTTTCTGTCTCCATCTTTCTCCCTTCGCTCTCCAGGCTTTGTGAGCTTTGATAACCCGGGCAGCGCTCAGGCTGCCATCCAGTCCATGAACGGCTTTCAGATCGGCATGAAGAGACTCAAAGTGCAGCTGAAGAGGCCAAAGGACGCCAACCGCCCATATTAGCCCCGTCCCTCCCCCCAGCCACCCCTGACCCTGGGGTTGAAGGCCGCCGCTACGCACAGGGAAGAACAGGTTAGCCAAATCACCTTGGAGCCAAAAGACACAAGGATATACACATACTATACAAGTGAACACATCAGTTCAGTCAAATTTGTGAACTGATTCATTGAAAAGTAATCGAGTCAGTGATTCATTCACTGACTCGATTTATGTTCTTACTCTGCATAATTCAATAAATAATAAGTATTTTTGAATATATAGATTCACTCTGAAATAAAAGTAAAACGGTTTGCAGGTGCTGTTTCATGTTGACTTTAAATCCGAGTATAACAGCATATGATATCAAATAGGACCCTTCTCTAGTCTGGGCAGTGCTGTGGCAGAGGGGGAAAGATTAGTCATTTCTATGTATTTAATTTCATCTCACATCTCCTCATCTAAATGAAGATGGAAAATTTACCCTGCTGATGCCTTTTAACTGGGCCAAGTTACTCTACTTACACAGCTAGTGAGGCAAAAAAGCAAAACTTCACAGAATGTCTTGATGTAAGTCTAGATTTATTTTTAACATGTATTTGTTTTTTATGACATTATAAATTCCAAATTTGTATATATTTTTTTTCTGACATTCCAAATTTGTTTATATATATTCTGACAAATAGCTAGTATAGCTTTTTATGCAAAAATGTGATTATTTATACAAATAAGTTTTATTTATAGACCATTTTCCCAAAACAGAAAAATAATTATGTTATATAATTATATAAATTATATTATAACAAATTAATATAATAATTATTAATAAAAATGTATTGCATTAATAATTAAAAATAACTAATATAAAAATGATTAACTTTAGTATAGTAGCTCTTTATGCAAAATTGTGAACAAGATTTTTGGACCATTTTCCCAGAAATGAAATATAATTATATTATATCTGTTATAATAAATTATATTTATAGATTATATATAATTGACTAATTAATTAATTGCATTAATAATTAACAAATAAAACCACAATTGCTATAAAAACATTAACATTGTTGATCATTTTATATATTCAAAAAATATATATTTGTCAACTTTAATGCACCAGAAACAGATGGACTCGAAGCTAACAGGCATGGACTAAAAGCCACAAGATGTGGTCTTTAAAGTAACAATGAAACAGCACATCACCAGAGAAGTATAATGTTTTCACTGGAAGATCTAGTTATGACAAATTGATTAAACATTACGGGGTCAAAAAAAAGTAAATTGAAACATATGCATGGATGATTTGTTCACAATAAGATCAACAACATGCATTCAAACTAGATGGGTGAATTTTCATTTCATGTCTTTAAATGCTTCCATCCTTTTTGTGTTTCCTTCCTAGGTTTTGTAGAGCTGGAACACATGTTGAAAACATGCCAACTGTATTTGAAAACACAACAGATCAAGATCATCGGGGCTGGGGATACAGTACAGCTGAAGAGGGACATGAGGAAAACGTAGCCGCATGATATACCACCACCACCAGGCTCAATGGATCTTTTTGGACTTCAGTGTTTAACTCAGGGGAGCCGCGGGGTTACTGGACCATACCGTACTCCCTTCTTCGAACCCACGAACCCTTATTTTGCAGGACTGCAGAATACACTACTGAAGACCAACACAAAAAATATATATATTTAAAAAAAGAAAACCAATGTAAGTCCTCAAAAGGCTCTGAATCTATGAATAAGTAGTACGGGGAAAAAACACTTTTTACAACTAAGATAGACTTTTAGATGGGAATCATGTAATATTGAACACGTCTTTGGGAAAACTTTTTAAAGAACTGTTTTAGAAACCAACAAAATGGATTAAAAAAAAAACTTGAAAGACAACTTTTTGGAAGGATGTGACAATTCAGGACAAGAACTTGCTTCGACTCGGGATGGTCAACTTTTTTTCTTGGAGTGCCTGTCCGTTTCCAGGGGCAACGGCTGCCACAAACCGCAGCCTCCGTCCGCTGGGAGACTTACCTGTCATTCCTTAGTTGTGTAGGGACCAAATGACCAAACCTTTTTATCACAAATGAAACAGAAAAAAAAAAACAGTACCTGTAACATAATCGGACCACTGCATCTCTTGCTGTGCCAATCGGTTTAAGAGTTGTATTTAAAAAAAAAAAAAAAAAAAAAGGATATATGTATAAAAAGAACATATATGACTATATGCATAAATGCATACATATAGATTGCTGATATGCTTTTTAAATACTGGCAGAAATATTTCCGATGGCCCGTTGAGGCCGTTCACTTCGCTAGTTTACAATTACTGCTCAAAATGAAGAATATTTATTTTTATTTCTCTTCTAGTTTTTCTCTGTGGTGAGAGAAAGGGTGCATGGGAAGGGTTGTTCCATAATGCAGCCTTACCTTTTCTATCTTATGTCCTGACCTTGTAGTTAAGAGACCATCTTAAAGAGGTTTGAGATAAACAATCCTGTTTATATATAACGTACATACATACAATATGTATATGTATAGCAGATGTTCAAGCAATATGTATTCATATTTATGCACCTGTACAGCATATATATGGATACATACGATATTAATCCCAAAACCCATATATGTATTTATATGCATATATTTTATATGTGTGTATATATAGAAACCGGCTATTCAATATGTAGAGCTGTCATTTTTTTGTAGATTTAAGCTGGTGTTTGAAACCACTGCTTTGCTTTGGACTTTTACCACTGGGAAGAATCTCAAATCGGCAGCTGCAATCTGCAGGCATTCCTCTCGATCCGATACGTTTCTTATCCGCCAACACACACACACACACACACACACACACACACACAAGGGTAAGAACACTGATTCCGTTTGTGTACATATGTGTATATGCTACTTACAAATGAAAAAGGCCTCCTCTCGTAAGAGAGTTTAATGAGAATCAGGATCATTACGAAATAGTACAGAATACGGACATATCTGCCTCCCGCCTCTGCAAACATTCGCAAACAAACAACGCTATTCAGTCGAACCGAGCGCCGGCTTTCTAAACGAACGCCCGGCGGTTTAATCGAACCGCGATCGCGCATGCACCGTCGAATCGTCAGCAGTGCACCTGGCAGCACTGTGCTACAACACCGCTAGCAGCCATTCATTATTATTATGATGATGTCAAAACAACGGAAACACTCTCCTTACTTACAAAATAAAAATAATACTACTATAGCTACAGCTAACAGCAACGCCTTCAAATATCTGTTGACATGACAAACCTGTGCAGCTTGACACAGCCATTTACCGATTTACACCCACTCGACGTTCTGCGGTTACAATGAAGTGGGCATTATGTACGTTTTGCACAAGTGTCAGAATCCGCATCACATTGCGTGTTTACATGTGCTGCTTCAGCGTTCAGACGGATTTGAGGGGTTTTCCCGCGCGGGTTGAGGATGGAACGTGAGTTTGTGAATTTCTTGTTATTGCAAATTGAGTTCTTGTACGATTTTTGGTTATGCTTTTCGATTGACCTATTATTCAAGATGGCACTATTGTAAATATATGATCATTTCAGAGCTGGTTAATTTGCTTTACCCAAGAGTAAAGCGTCTGTATAGAGGGTAAAAAGCAGTAGTCTGTTCACCTCATTTCGAAGGGGGATCCAGTTCTGAATCGACGTGTCTTCAGACGGGTTCCGAGAATGTCGTATTTTGCCTTCTAGATCTTTCCGACACATGATCATTCAGGTATTCCAGGATCTTTTGCAAGAATATGCATTCCGTCTGTTGGATTTCGGTGTCACCTGTCTTTCTCTCCCTTTCGGTCTCACACCATCTGTCTCGCGCTCATCATCTTCCTCCATGTTAACCGTTTCAGCTGCAACTGTTTACATGGCAATCTGGCAATGTAGAGTTGACAAAACCGACAAGACAGAACAGAAATTTTATTATAAATATATATAAGTATATACATGAACTACTGAATATACTGTAAATGTTTTTTCTCTTTTTTGCTCTGTTCCTCTGTATATAGGTTTGCATATTTTATAGTCTTTTACTTCAATCTAGAAGGACTGGATGACTAAGAAAATTTAGAGACAAAAAAAAAGAAAAACAAAGCAGGTAAACTCTAGCCCTTAGAGATGCAGTATGGTTGTAAGGTATTATGGAACGTAAGAAGAGCCAATCAGATTTGATCCAAACATTAATGTCACTTTCAGAACTGCTGCCAACATGCTTATTTGCCTATTTATGTATTCATTTGTTAATTTATTTCAAATGTCATTTGTTCATTTTTTTTTTTTTTTTTTTTAATACTATAATATATATGTACTTTTATCATTTAAATGGTTGAAATTTTTATGTTTGTAACTGCACCGAATATCATTTTGTCATTTAAACGATTCTTTTTAAAATATATATTTTTTACATGTTTTTGTATTGTGAGACACAATGGAACAATGCAACTGGCAGAATCAGGGTAATCCTTTATGGAGAATGTAGAACTCATGAAGGACTGGTGTCAAAAGTTTTCGCTGCACCTGTTAGAACTGTCTGCTGTTTTCTTCTGTTCTGCGATTCCATGCGTCTGTCAGAACTCTGATTTGCTTCACTGCTTCTTCAAACACTGGGGGGGGAAAAAAAGGAAGAAAAACTGCACTAATCCATCAGACTCTCAGCAACTCATCAGAAAGAGTCTGAACTTACAAGGAACAATGCAGTAAAATGGGGTTTAAAAAAAAGAGAAGGAAAAAAATACATTTTCAGACATTTTGAGCACATTTGAGCGTGCTGGGTGGTATCTGTGGATTTATGCCAAGCTTATCACGATGAGATTGAGTTGTATTAGCAGTCGGAGTATTGCTGCAGCTCTTGCCCTGTTCTTAACTCCACCTTTCTCTGGTCCCTAGACTATCTTTTGTAATTTTACTGAATGACGCGTTTCCGCTTAAGCCCAGTAATAAAGCACAGTGTAGAATAAAGCAGCATTATGCTTGTCCCATTTCCTGCTGTATGTCTATACAAGCCTTTTTATGAGTTGTTTTTATCTCTTTCTCTCTTTTTATGGATTTGTGGCATGACTGATGTACACTGAAACCACTTCAAAGGCGGAGGGTTTACATGCACACACACACGGGCGCATCTCTGAAACTTTCTTTACAACACTTCAGATCAAATTAGACCAATAGCCCTAGAGCGATGTTTGGCTGAATCCCATGGCATATACTGATGCTCCCAGATCGAGTTTGAAGTATCAAAGCATATACGCCGTGTATATTGGAAAAGCAGGGGAATAGGAAAGTGAGGGGAGGCTTTAAAAACGGCCCTGTAGAAAAAAAAAGTGTGTTAATATATGCAGAAAACTCAGTGACTCATGATTATTGTGGAAAACACAGCACTGCCTAGAAATACATCTTAATGACTAGTCACTCGTATGAGAATGTCTCGTTTCCTCAAGATGACAGTGGGATACACGTTACAGATCACAGCAACTGTTCGTGAGAAGCTCTTTAAACGTATACGTTGCCAAGTTAGTTCCTTGGAAAGCCTGTGGACTTTAATTGAGCTGCTGCCCAACCATCTGTGACTGAATAAACAACACCATTAATTAATAAACATTTTATTAAGGCAAAAATAAACCATTTATTTATTATCTTAAAATTAAGACCATAATTATTTCAAGACACTAAACACATTTAAAAGGCAGAATTAAGAGCTCATGAATAATTAATGATCATTCAAATCCAGTTATTCCAACAATCAACCTGAATCGCCTTTATAACTCTTCAACAGATGAAAAAGATGTCTTCTAAGATCTCACTCTCCTCCAGGTCTTGCAGAGAGGACCGACTGGGGCCAAAATGAGAGAGAAGGGTCTTCTGAGAGGACTGAGGGGCAACGGAACTCCTCCGTGATGACTGATTGATTCGGTACCTTTCTGGGTTGGATGCAGGGCTGAAAATGTCCAACAGCTCAATCAAAGAGTCGTCCAACCTAACAATGAACAGAAAAAAGAAGGAAAAAAACAGGACTAAGCGGAAATGTCATATAGTTGTTTTATACACCAAAACAGAAGTGGACAAATGGGATATAAAAAAAAGCATGACAATTTACATATCACTCAGAATGCTGTACATCCTCAGATTCCCCTACATAAAAACAACATTATTGTTGTTGTCTGAATAGACAACAGAGTTCACAGGCTTTGAAACATGTGGCTTTAGGGTGCATATGAAGATTCCTAGTTTGGAAGGAAAACTGAGCGCCGAGCAAGGAGATAAATAGATAAAAGAATAAATAAACAAAGAATAAGCTAATAAAGATTCAACCCCTCAGTCGAGGTGCTTAATAAATTATTCATCGAATACAGACGCGCACATTTCAGATATGAAACATGAATTCTTAAAGCACGCGCCACTGACGCTGCTAACATAATTCACTGCTCATTCTAAACAGCATTGATTTGCATCCATGCAGCAGAGGGGATGAGTGGGTATTCATACAGAGATGTGTGTGTGTCTGAGGGATCTCAGCTCCTATGAGAGGCAGAAAACGGTGTCATCCACTGAGTGCCTCTGACATATGAAAGCAGTATTTGCTTCACAGCCATGATAGCGGTGATTATACAGGATGCTGAGACACATGCCATCCACTATTTCCTTCGTGTCTGACACTTTTTGGGTCTGAAATCATCAAAGTATCAGCTACACCTCAAAATGTTTCCACAGAAAGGTAAATAGAAATTAAAGGTTGTCAATGTCAAACTTCCATACTTCTCAGGAAACACATTAGCTTTGTTCTAAAACCTAGCTGCCTTCTAAGACAACATTCTACCTGAGATGGAACCTCAACAGAGATTGATTTGGAACAATTAATAGAGACAGCAACTCCTCATATAAGGATAAAATAGTTACTTTTAATAAGACTGACCTATTTGTTGTGTACTTTTTTTCCGCATTAAATGGAATATATGCACTTAAATCTCATCTTGCCCATCATATTGGATTCATTTTTTCACTGAGCTTGACGCAATGCATTCTAGTACTGCCTTCACCAGAAAAAATCTTGAATTTATTAAGAAATATTAAGCTATTAATGCTGCCTACCTTTTTGGTCTAACCTTATGTTGAAAGGGTATCTATAATACTGTTTGGATAAGCATCACACTAGATTTTGGAACAGAGGTAGTAAATCAGTCACTCAATAACAGTATTCTTGCATTCAAATATGGTACATCAAGATGTCATTGGTTCTTGGGTGTCTCATAACTGACCGTCACTGACATCAAACCAACACTGTTAATTTCATTAACGAAAACTATGATGAAAAATATTTGTTGATGACCTTTTTTCCTTGACAAAGACAAGATGACACCAACATCATTAAACTGTGACTATATCAACATACAATATTGCTGACGAAAAAAGACGAGACTAAAATGTAGTTGAAAAAATGAAAATAAAACATAAATCAGGAAACTAGATAAGGGAAAATAAGCCATGTGTATGAGTTGATATTCTCTTTATTTGTTCTTATAGGTGAAAGTGCAATAATTCTGATGAAATTTCTCAAATGACAACAATCATGAACATTAATCGCAATTAAAATTGAGCAAAATAATTGTGATTATAAATGTAACCATTATGCAGCATGACTAAAATATGACGAGTTTTCATTGACTAAAACTAGACTAAAATTGTCAGACTTTGTCAATTAAAACTTGACTAAACAAAACAAAACAACAAAATAGTTCGACTAAATATGATAAAACCTAAAAAGGACATTTGACAGTTCTAAGACTAAATTAAAACTATTAAAAAATTAAAACTAAGGGACTATTTTCAGAAGAACATAGTGAATATAGAAATTATTTTTATGGACTACTTTTAAGGTGCAGTCATTTCTGAGAACTTTCACAGGCAAAAGAGTCAACTGTCAATAATTTAGCAATAAAGCAATGAAGACAGAAGTCACTTTCAAACCAAGAATCTTTCTGTTTGATCAAGGCAATGAATCCGTGTGACCAACTTGAACCCATTGCGAAATCAGCGTAGGAAAATATTTTACCCTCACGCGAAATTACTGATCACTTATTGAAATAACTGGATTGTGCCAATGACATTTACAATGGTAAATTGTCATTTTTGAAGCTTACAACCCAAACACTTTTCATTGCAAGAAAAAAGGCAGCCAAAACATTCTTCCTGCAGGTTTGAAACAACACGAGGATGAACAAATGATGACAAACTCACTTTCAGGAGAGCTATCCCTTTAAAATCTAAAATTATGCCAACTTCTCCCACCTTCACACTGTCTATTTCTGTTGACCAGGTGAGGACTGAGCGAACTGAAGAGCAAACTGGTGAATCTTTGCACAGGTAAAGATTAGTTTTGAGGCTGATGGATTGATCCCCAGAGTGTTGAACACATGTTCACACAGCCAGCTCGGTGGGGTTCCTGAGCACCTGTTCTCCCTCATGCTGGGACTGATGAAGGTGCCCTAGCTCTGGAAGACATCCTGAATTGTACCGCTGCCAAAGATCGGAAACCCACCGTTCCCTGAGGACTACAGACCAGTTGATCTCACTTCACACATTGCGAGGACCTCTGAGAAGCTGGTCCTTAGATAGACCACCTGGACCCAGGACAGTTCTGACCCTGGACTCTAGAGGCAGTAACCATTCAACATTAGCAAACCCAGGGGCGTAATTTCCACTGGGGACAGGGGGGACATGTCCCCCCCACTTTTCAAAATCACGTTTGTGTCCCCCCCACTTTCAAATTCGTTTGTTATGATATTTAACTGCACGCCGTCATTGCCACGGAGGAGCAGGACCGAGCAGGGCACAGACACGCGCGTCCAGGAACGTTGCGTGCACACTCTAAAAATAGCTCACTGAAAGTTCTAATGAGCAGGTATCGCGGTTGCGGTACAGTCAGCGATGAAATGCCAGAAGCAGCAACAGATTACTTTAATGTCATCATGGATGAAAAGAAAGAAAGAAAGAAAGGAGATGTGAGTTGGTTGATTCAGTAAATTAGCTCAGGTCAGGATAATCATATTTTCTGTCTACACCTGTTAATGTTAGCCTACATTGACTGAGCTAACGTTAACATACACTGTTGCTAGGTAAGCTAAATATTTAATGTAGAACAGTGGATCCCAAACTTGGGTATGTGAGGCGACAGAGGGGGGTACGCGAACAAAATGCTGAGTTTTGCGGTGTTTCGTAAACGAATCGTTCATGAAAGTCATTGATTCAATGATTCATTTATAAATACAGCCACTTGCTTAGTTACTGAATGAACAAATGACTCGATGACTCACGCATTAACAACTGTCGGTTTTAGTATTTAAAATAATCACTTTTCACTTTTTTTAATCATCATTGCATATTAATCTATTGAACTTTTTTTTTTTTAAAACTAAGGGACTATTTTCAGAAGAACATAGTGAATATAGAAATTATTTTTATGGACTACTTTTAAGGTGCAGTCATTTCTGAGAACTTTCACAGGCAAAAGAGTCAACTGTCAATAATTTAGCAATAAAGCAATGAAGACAGAAGTCACTTTCAAACCAAGAATCTTTCTGTTTGATCAAGGCAATGAATCCGTGTGACCAACTTGAACCCATTGCGAAATCAGCGTAGGAAAATATTTTACCCTCACGCGAAATTACTGATCACTTATTGAAATAACTGGATTGTGCCAATGACATTTACAATGGTAAATTGTCATTTTTGAAGCTTACAACCCAAACACTTTTCATTGCAAGAAAAAAGGCAGCCAAAACATTCTTCCTGCAGGTTTGAAACAACACGAGGATGAACAAATGATGACAAACTCACTTTCAGGAGAGCTATCCCTTTAAAATCTAAAATTATGCCAACTTCTCCCACCTTCACACTGTCTATTTCTGTTGACCAGGTGAGGACTGAGCGAACTGGAGAATCTCTGCACAGGTAAAGATGAGTTTTGAGGCAGACGGATTGATCCCCAGAGTGTTGAACACATGTTCACACAGCCAGCTCGGTGGGGTTCCTGAGCACCTGTTCTCCCTCATGCTGGGACTGATGAAGGTGCCCTAGCTCTGGAAGACATCCTGAATTGTACCGCTGCCAAAGATCGGAAACCCACCGTTCCCTGAGGACTACAGACCAGTTGATCTCACTTCACACATTGCGAGGACCTCTGAGAAGCTGGTCCTTAGATAGACCACCTGGACCCAGGACAGTTCTGACCCTGGACTCTAGAGGCAGTAACCATTCAACATTAGCAAACCCAGGGGCGTAATTTCCACTGGGGACAGGGGGGACATTTTTCAAAATCACGTTTGTGTCCCCCCACTTTCAAATTCGTTTGTTATGATTTTTTAACCGCACGCCGTCATCGCCTCGGAGGAGCAGGACCGAGCAGGGCACAGACGCACGTGACCGCGTCCAAGAATATCGCATGCACACTCTAAGAATAGCTCACTGAAAGTTATAATGAGCAGGTATCGCGGTTGTGGCACAGTCAGCGATGAAACGCCAGAAGCAGCAACAGATGACTTTAATGTCATCATGGATGAAAAGAAAGAAAGAAAGAAAGGAGATGTGAGTTGGTTGATTCAGTAAATTAGCTCAGGTCAGGATAATCATATTTTCTGTCTACACCTGTTAATGTTAGCCTACATTGACTGAGCTAACGTTAACATACACTGTTGCTAGGTAAGCTAAATATTTAATGTAGAACAGTGGATCCCAAACTTGGGTATGTGAGGCGACAGAGGGGGGTACGCGAACAAAATGCTGAGTTTTGCGGTGTTTCGTAAACGAATCGTTCATGAAAGTCATTGATTCAATGATTCATTTATAAATACAGCCACTTGCTTAGTTACTGAATGAACAAATGACTCGATGACTCACGCATTAACAACTGTCGGTTTTAGTATTTAAAATAATCACTTTTCACTTTTTTTAATCATCATTGCATATTAATCTATTGAACTT